TGAATTGGGTCGGCTAAATTGTCCATAGTGTGTGGATGTTTCCCAGAGATGGGTTGCGGCTGGAAGGGCATCCGCTGCGTAAAAACTTGGATAAGTTGGTGGTTCATTCCGCTGTGGCGATCCCGGATTAATAAAGGGACTAAGCCGACAAGAAAATGAATGAATAAATGAAACAGTTGAAACCCCATTAACTTAATTATATTGGTTTTCATGACTTTTGTCGTACTTTTATACATGTCCTCAGTATTTTATGTACACCCTAAAAATGCTGGGTTATTTCAGCCCAATTTTGGGTAAAATATTGGAAAAGCTAACTGATGGTTTATTTTTGTCTTTATTTATTAAATTTATTTGACCAAATATAACCCCAAATGTTGTCTTTTTACCCACACTCAAAAAAATTATACACTCTAAAAAATATTGTTTAGACAAAACAAAACAAAAACGCAACAGTTTGCATTAATATATTGAAGTTATGACAACATCTAACAGAATGAAACTCAGACAACAAACTTTATTATGTTAGCTAAATATTTTCCTCTTCAATCAGAGGCATTTTTACATAGCAAAACCCTCAAATCTATGAGTTCAGTACTCAAAAATGTTGTTTCAATTAGTTTTTTATTTTAAAATGGAAAACAAATCCAGTGTTATGTACTTAATCACATGCACATTTTCAAGTTTAGAACCCATAAATAAATTAAGTAGCCGAAATTGTAAAATTTTTGGTTTGTTTTCAAATGTACAGTTCATGCTTGTAAGAAATACATTTAACAATAACATTTTTGTTTTTCTGTATTTTTTTTTAATAATTAGTAATAAACCACAGGTTTTCATTGTTTTACTAAACAAAAACATGTACTGACCCATATTATCAGTAAAAAAATAGCAAAAAACATCAGTGTGTGGACTTAAAAATACAAAACAACTCCATTATTGTGATTTATCAATCCAATTTCTTTGGGTTGCTACAAGTTAAATATTGTTTTAAAGTAACAGACAGATATATTTACCTTTAAATTAGCCGTATTTTTAAATTGATGTTATTATCAATACTTTCCTGTTTTAAAACTTAATAAAATTATTCTGGTAACTTAAAAGTTTCAATCTAATCAGCATTTTTGAATTTTTAAGTTACAATAACGTATTAAACCATGTAGTGGTTACAGAGCTCTAGAGTTATTTTTTAGAGTGTATATACAACATTTGACAATAATAAATCAGCACAGCGTCTGCATTATATGACTGTGTTTATGACTCACGGCAGGGATTGAAGGTTAAAAACTTTAATATAAGGGTGTGACCGTCGTCTCCTTTCACTTGTAATAGCTGAACATTCACACACTTAACAAACATAACAAAAGCAGAGAGGAACGTCAAGGCAACAAGAGGAAAAAAAACAGCCGAGTAAACCTGTCCTGAAGACTAACCAGTAGATACACTATCATACAAAACGGTACAGTGAGGGTACAAATTTGTTCTTAGAGGGAACAAAATATAAAACTGTACCTTTTTAAGGTCCCAAATTGGTCCTAAGGGTATAATTTTGTACCCAAATGGGCTGTAAAGGTTTAAATTTTGATTTGAAAGGTCTTTTCCGCTTTTACTTACTAGTAATATTATTATTGTTATTGTTGTTATTATTATTATTATTATTATTATTATTATTATGATTGTTATTGTTATTATTATTATTGTTGTTGTTATTATCATTATTGTTATTATTATTATTATAGTTATCATTAATATCATTGTTATTATTATTATTATTATAGTTATCATTATTATTATTGTTATTATTATTATGATTGTTATTATTATTATTATAGTTATTATTATTATTATTATTATTATTGTTGTTATTATCATTATTGTTATTATTATTATTATTATAGTTATCATTAATATCATTGTTATTAATATTATTATAGTTATCATTATTATTATTGTTATTATTATTATTATTAGTAGTAGTAGTATTGTTGTTGTTTTTATCATTAGTGTTATTATTATTATAGTTTTCATTATTATTGTTATTATTATTATTATTATTAGTATTGTTATTGTTATTATCATTATTTTTATTATTATTATATTTATTATTATTATTGTTATTATTAGTAGTAGTAGTAGTAGTAGTATTGCTATTGTTATTATCATTATTGTTATTATTATTATTATTATATTTATTATTATTATTAGTATTATTATTATTATTATTATTATTATTATTATTATTATTATTATTATTATTTGTCCTCTTCCTGATTTCCCAACCTCCCCCATCTCGTCACTTTTAGAATTGGTATTACTTTTACTTTTGTTATCACTATTATTATTATTATTATTATTATTATTATTATTACTCTTTTGACTAGCCCTCCTGTTATCTCCTCATTATCATTATTATAAGTATTTATACCACTGTCATTATTAAGGTTGCTGTGGTAGTAGTAGTAGTCATTGTAGTAGTATCGATTGTAGTTGTGATTATTGAAGTAGTAGTTGTAGTAATTTCTGAGTTAAAAAAAATCTCTCTATTAAACAGAAATTGGGGAAAAAATAAACATTGGGGATAAAAATTCTGACTTCAACTGTACATAAACACCTGCAAGATGATCCCTGAATTGCATTGATCACCACTAGATGGCAGGCTTACTCAAATTATTAGTCTCCAAATTGACCTAAACTATGAGAATCTTTCCAAATTAAAAAGGTTACAGCTTTAAAGTGCTTTTTACAAGCATAGGACTACCAGACAACATTAAATACTGTATAAGCTTATAGTAAATAACATAGTGTTTTTGTAAGGTACAGTACTAATACTACTACTGTATAGTACTTATATTAATCTATGGTGATACAGCAACTGTAATCATAATATAAACATGTTACACAATACGTTTTCTAGGGTGTATTTTACAGTTTAGCTAAAACAAAAACAAACAACAGTGTTTATTATTTATCAGTTCCCCAAAGTGCTACAGTACTCATTCATTCATTTTCTTTTCAGCTTAGTCCCTTTATTAATCCAGGGTCGCCACAGTGGAATGAACCGCCAATGCTGCAGTTTGCTTTAGCATTAATTACACATTTACTGTTGTAATTGTTTTTTAACACACTAAATACACCAAACAACATAAAAAATACTATAGAAGCCTATACTATGGTGTTCTTGAACCATGTATACTGGATTCATCATTCATCCATTCATTTTTTTTTTGGGCCTAGTCCCTTTATTAATCAGGGGTCGCCACAGCGGAATGAACCACCAACTTATCCAGCATTTGTTTCATGTAGCGGATGCCCTCCCAGCTGCAACCCATCACTGGGAAACACCCATACACTCTCATTCACACACTACGAACAATTTAGCTTATTCAGTTCCCCTATACCACATGTGTTTGGACAGTGGGGGAAACACCCAGAGGAGCCCACACAAACACAGTGAGAACATGCAAACTCCACACAGAAACGCCAACTGAACTAACCAAGGCTCGAACCAGCGACCTTCTAGCTGCGAGCAACTGCAATCATAATATAAACAAACTACACCAAACGTTTTCCACAACTATAGGGTGTGTTATAGCCACTACACCACAGTTTAGCTAAAGCAAAAATAAGCTACAGTGTTTATTATGCATCAGTTTGCTATAGTTAATGCTACAGTATGATTTAGCATTCATTACAAGCTTTTACTGTTTAAAAACTATAGTATTTACTATTAATTACTATAGTATTATTTAATGTGGGAACAGTATAAAGCGTTCTATGTGAAGATACAGAGTAGCTAACAGGGGCGGACTGGCCATCTGGCAAATGCCAGAAGGGCCGGACCATTTTTTAAATGTGGGCCGGTCAGTTATTTTTATTTTATTTTATTTTTTTCATATGTATTGTTTTTTAAATGTAGGCAGCTTTTATCTCTTGCGAGATGTGAATATTATGATGATGATGATGGTGATAATAGTAAGAATAATAGTCAATGTTAAGCATTGGCCCAATCGGCAACAACCGGCTGGTTTCGAGATGGGCCGACCCAATCTGAGGTTACGCAGACGTAATCAAAATCTGGCAAGAATGTCAAACAAACAGTAAGTGCAACACAAGCTAATTGACAGAGATGGACCATAAAAAGGGAAAAGCAGTCAAGTCAGACAATGCTAAATACATAAAATTTACTGAACTAGTCCCGAAAGGGGGCAGTGCAGTGGCGCAGTGGTTAATGCTGTCGCCTCACAGCAAGTAAGTCGCTGGTTTGAGCCTCATCTGGGTCAGTTGGTGTTTCTGTGTGGAGTTTGCATGTTCGCGTGGGTTTCCTTCTGATTCAAGTCCAAACACATGCTGTAGGTGAATTGGGTAGGCCAATTGGGAATTGGGTAACCCAGTAATGGGTTGCAGCTTTGAGGGCATCCACTGTGTAAAACATATGCTGGATAAGTTGGCGATTCCCAGATTAATAAAGGGATTAAGCCGAAAAGAAAATGAATGACATGATTGCATATATAAATGGGTTGTTTTTGTTCCAGTCACACACATCAAATGTTTAAATATCTCTTAAATAGGTACCGCTTATATCATTTTACCATCTGTACACCAATATAAGTAGTGAATGTGCGTGTCCTTGGGTGGGGCTGTGTCGGTGTGATAATGTGGGCTGGTGTGGCTACAGTGCCAGGGCTGATTTTTAGTCCCAGTTCGGCCCTGGTAGCTAACATTGAGGCTAAATAAATACTGATATTTTTGACACTCCACTTGCCATTTGCATACACCTGCTGCCGGGTTGATCCGGTAGAGAGCAGCAGACACTGCTAAATAAACACAGAACAGTCATTAATACATTAAACAACCAAATAAACAACAACAAGCAGCATTTAATTCTTAAATATATAACACTTTTTTTGTTTAGCACGATTTGTTAGAGAAGCATATTAGCGTTAGTAGAGCACTGACAGGAATCAATGCCATCCAATGAATGCGGTGCTGTCGAAGTTCCGCCCTCAGCGAATGTGTGTGTGTGTGTGTAGCCTTTGTATGTGTGTGTGTGTGTGTGTTTGTTCGGTCATTGTGATCCCCGGAGATCTCCAAGCTGAAGTAACTCGGTAATTTGTGGGAGAACGGGAGATTCCTGCGCTCACCGAGTGGATCATGGTGATGACGTCAGGCGACGGCGGTGGCGGCGGGTCTGCGTGCACCGGGACAGGTGTGTTACCTGTGGCTGCATACTGCTGGATCTCCAACATGCCCATTAAAATGAACTGCATTTCCTGAATGCGTTTTTAATATGATTACCTATTTATTTGCGGCTACTGACGCCTTCGACTTTTAGTCTATTGATTGATCGCGAGCAGTTCGTGACGCTTTGCAAACGCGTGAAGACACGCAAAAAAAAACCACTCCCTGAGCACTGGATGTCAAGCGCGCTTTTGGAGAGGAGAAAATCACGTTTATTCGGTGTGACGCATCACCGGGACCGGACTGCAGCATGTGCGAGACGGTGATGGCCGTTTCTCAGCTGGACACCGAGTCCCACGCACCGGAGAACGGATTTGTGACCCCCGAAACTAGTAAATCTCCGGGGCTGCTCTCGCAGACTGACGGCGGCGTTTTACCGAGTGTGGGTGGATTTGGGAAGTATCAGAAACAGCTGATCGTTTTAACGTGGATCCCGGCCATTTTTATAGGCTTCAGCCAGTTTTCTGACAATTTTCTCCTGACTAATCCGTGTCCTGAGCCGCATAATAACAGCAGCCAGCTCCTGACTGTTGCTCCGACCGCCGTTAGCACCGTGTTTACCGGTGTAAATACCGAGGCGGCATCGCAATGCAACTGCACGCCGTCCAGCTATAAACTGCAAAACGGATTAGAGCAAAATATTGTCACCAAGGTAAGTGGAGTCATCCCTGAGCTACAATGTTAGGTGGCATAGGCTAATTTAAAAGGAACCAACTTGAAGGGGTAGTTCACACAGACATGAAAATACTGTCATCAAATTCTGTCACTATCTTGAGCTGTTGTTCTGCTGAACTCAAATGAAGATATTCTGAACAATGTTGGACACCATTGACATCTATATAAGCACATATTATTGAAGTCAATGGTTACCGGTTTCCAACAATATATCTTCATTTTCTCTATGTTCAACACAACAACAACAACAAAAAACTTGAGGCTGAATGAATGATGACAAATCTCAATTTTGGATTAACTTTCCCTTTAAAAGGATATTAAACATGAAAATTCTGTCTGTTCACTCACTATTTCAATAAATAATGAGTGAATGTTCATTTTGGGGTGAACAATTCCTTTAAAATTAACAATATGTCATTGTTTATTCACACAGTTAACTTGTTCCAAGCCAAAAACGAAGATGTTCTGAACAATGCTGGAAACCATTGACATCTATAAGCAAATAGTATTGAAGTCAATGGTTACCGGTTTTTATCATTTTTCATTATATCTTCCTTTATGTTCAACACCAACAACAACAAACTGGAAAGTGAATGAATGATGATATATCTCAGTTTTGGTTTAATGATCCCTGAAAATTCTACATTATTTACATGTTTCAAACATACTGGTTACTTGTTTTGAATAAATAGTAAGTAAATATTCATTTTCGGGTGAACTGTCCCTTTAAAATTAACATTTTGTCATTGTTTATTCACACACTTGTTCCAACTTGTTCCAAGCCACTTTGAGTTTGTTGTTGTTCTGTTGAACTCAAATGTAGATATTCGGAATTCTGAAAACCGGTAACCATTGACATCAATATAAGCAAATATTATTGAAGTCAATGGTTACTGGTTTCCAACATGATATCTTCATTATTTCTCTATGTTCAACACAACAACAACAAAAACTCGAGGCTGAATGAATGATGACAAATCTCAATTTTGGATTAACTTTCCCTTTAAAAGGATATTAAACATGAAAATTCTGTCTGTTTACTCACTATTTCAATAAATAATGAGTGAATGTTCATTTTGGGGTGAACAATTCCTTTAAAATGAACAATATGTCAACGTTTATTCACACAGTTCACTTGTTCCAAGCCAAAAACAAAGATGTTCTGAACAATGCTGGAAACCATTGACATCTATAAGCAAATATTATGGAAGTCAATGGTTACCGGTTTTCAACATTCTTCATTATATCTTCTTTTATGTGTTCAACAGGACAACAACAAAACACTGAAGGGTGAATGAATGATGACACATTTCAATTTTAGTTAAACTATTCCTTTAAAAGGATATCAAAAATTGAAATTCTGTCAATAATTTACTCACTATTTACTTGTTTCAAACTCACTATTTGCAATTTTTCAAATAAATATTGAGTGAATGTTTATTTGTGGGTGATATGTCCCTTTAAAATGAACATTATGTAATTGTTTATTCGCACACTTGTTCCAACTTGTTCCAAGCCACTTTTTTGTTGTTTGGTTGAACATGAAAGAAGATGCTCTGAACCATTTTGAAAACCGGTAACCATTGACATCTGTATAAGCAAATATTATGCAAGACAATGGTTACCGGTTTCCGACATTCTTAATTATATCATTTATTTTCAACGTAACAACAACTTGAGGGTGAATGAATGATGACAAATCTCAATTTTGGTTAAGCTGTTCGTTTAACAGATATCAAAAATTTAAATTCTACACCGTTTACTTGTTTTTAAACTCACTATTTACTTATTTTGAATAAATGATGAGTAAATGTTCATTTTTGGGTGAACTCACCCTTTAAAATAAAAATTGTCAGAGTTTATTCACACAATTAACCTGTTCCAAGTGACTTTGAGTTCTTTTTTTTGTTCTGTTAAACACAGAAGGTATTCTGAAGAATGTTGTAGCTGGTAACCATTGACACACATTGTATAAGAAAATATTATGAAAGACAAGGAATATCAAAAATGAATATTCTGTCAATCATTTGCTCACTCTTTACTTGTTTCAAACCTTTAATAGTGTCTTCTTTTAAACACAAAAGAAGATGTTTTGAAAAATGTGGTAAACCTGTAACCATTGACTTTCTTAGTAAGACTGACACTCATAAAGATGTCGAACCACTTGAGAATAAGAATAAATAGTGACTAAATGTTCATTTTAAGTGAACTGTCCCTTCAAAATGAAAATTATGTCATCGTTTATTCACACAATTATGTTTTTCCAAGCCACTTTGAGTTTATTTTGTTCTGTTAAACACAAGAAAAGATATTCTGAAGAATGTTAGAGCCGGTAACCATTGACATATATTGTAGGAACATAAAATATTACGAAAGACAAAGAATATCAAAAATGAAAAATCTGTCAACCATTTACTCACTCATTACTCAAACCTTTATTAGTTTCTTCATTTAAACACAAAAGATAATTTGAAAAATGTCGTAAACCTGTAACCATTGACTTTCTTAGTAAGACAGAAACTCATAAAGATGTAAAACCGCTTGAAAATGAGAATAAATAGTGGCTAAATGTTTATTTTATATTGAAGAATCCCTTTAAAATAAAAGTTATGTCATTATTTATTCACACAATTAACTTGTTACAAGCCACTTTGCGTTTATTTTTTCCTTTTAAACACAAATGAAGATATTGTGAAGAATGTTGGAGCCAGTAACCATTGACATCTATATAGTAGAAGCAGCAAGTGTTATGAAAGGCAGTGTAAACCTTTATTATATCAATCATTTACTCACTCTTTATTTGTTTCAAACCTTTATTAGTTTCTTCTATTAAACACAAAAGAAGATATTTTGAAAAATGCCGTAAACCTGTAACCATTGACATTCATAGTAAGACAGAAATTCATAAATGTGTTTATTAACCACTTGAGAATGAGAATAAATAGTGACTAAATGTTCATTTTTGGGTGAACTGTCCCTTTAAAATAAAAAATTATTCACACAATACTGTTTTTCCAAGCCACTTTGAGTTTATTTTGTTCTGTTGAACACAAAACAAGATATTCTGAAGAATGTTGAAGCCGGTAACCATTGACATCTATAGTAGGAAAAGAATATTATGAAGGACAAAGAATATCAAAAATGAAAAATCTGTTAATCATTTACTCATTCTTTACTTTTTAAAACACAAAAGAAGATCCTTTAAAAAATGTGGTAAACCTGTAACCATTGACTTTCTTAGTAAGACAGAAACTCGTAAAGATGTCGAACCACTTGAAAATGAGAATAAATAGTGACTAAATTTTCATTTTATATTGAAGAATCCCTTTAAAATAAAAATTATGTCATTGTTTATTCACACAATTAACTTGTTTCAAGCCACTTTGAGTTTATTTTGTTCTGTCGAACACAAATGAAGATATTCTGAAGAATGTTGGAGCCGGTAACCATTGACATCTATAGTAGGAAAAGAAAATATTATGAAAGACAATGAATATAAAAAATGAAAATTCTGTCAATCATTTACTCATTCTTTACTTAAACCATTATTACTTTCTTCTTTTTAAACACAAAAGAAGATCCTTTAAAAAATGTCAAAAACCTGTAACCATTGACTTTTTTTTTAGAAAGACAGATACTCATAAAGATGTAGAACCGCTTGAGAAAGAGAATAAATAGTGACTAAATGTTCATTTTTGGGTGAACTGTCTCTTTAAAATGACAATTCTGTCATCGTTTATTCACAAAATTAACTTGTTCTAAGCCACTTAGAGTTTATTTAGTTCTGTTGAACACAAATGAAGATATTCTGAAGAATGTTGGAAACCGGTAACCATTGACATCTATATAAGCAAATATTATGAAAGACAATACCCATTTCCAATATACTTTATTATATATTTTATATTCGACAAATCAACAACAAAAACTTTGAGGGTATTTTGTAGAATGTTGGAGCCGGTAACCATTGACATCTATAGTAGGAAAACCAAATATTATAAAACTCAATGGTTACCAGTTTCCAACATTCTTCATTATACCTTTCTTTTATGTTCAACAGTAGAAGAAAAAAACCCCAAGAGTTAGTGAATAACGACAGAACTTTCATTTGTGGGTGAACTATCCCTTTAAGTTCGTTAAGTAGACAAGCTTAAAATTTCACAAATACTTGTGTAATATTCGTGTGTGAAAAGGTGAGCTTGTTTACAGTGGAAATGAACACACACATACGCACACACAGCTGCCATCACGGGTGTCATGTCACTGGGTTCCCTCATGCTGGCCAGATGACATAACTACTCTCTGTGCGATCTTTAAAAGAAAAAAAAAAAACAATAGCAGCAGCAACCTTTCTACTATTGGTGTCCTGCCCTTCGGCCTCCATTAGCCTGCATTGTGCAATAAGAATATGGGTCAGCAAACCCTAAGGATTACACGGTAGTTATGAGATAAGAGAAAGCTGTCGTGCAGGGCTCTTTCGAGTTGATCATATTAGTGTCACATTATGTCCTTTTCCCAGCTAATAAATCTACATGTGCTTTGCAGAGACGACTGGAGGTTCACTAGTAATAGCTCAATAGTAAACATTTTTAGACCTGTCAAGTAAGATTTATGTATTCTGATTGCATAGAACTTTTTTTATTACATACTTTAAACATGCATGAACTAACAAACTTTGTGTGATATCTAATTTATTAATAAAAAGTAAACATTTTCAGTGATATTTAGTGACTGTTTTAGAGGTAACTGTAGGTCAAACTATTCAAATTATGTCAAATTTTTCTTTTTTTAGGCTACATGCAGATATAAACACCTATTTTATAAGTAACGTGTTTTGTGAATACTTAAGATGTCTTTTGGTGCTCTAGATTGGCCAGTTTCAGAGCCAGATGGAGCCAGATCAGTCTCAAAAATAATACATTTTCTAAATATAATTTATACGTCCACAACGCAATTCACATTTACAAAATTCAATTC